TAAATAAATAAATAAATAAATAAATAGTTGCCTCGCTGCTGGTATTAGTTCTAACTTTTCTGACCTGGAATGGTCCACTGAGGTTTGTCGACCATTTAAATTGTTCAGCTAAATTAAAAGCACAGCAGTGGTCCTCTGTTTTGCATGCACCATATATTGTTTTATGAGAAAATAATTAAGCGTGTCATTAAAAAAGTCAGATTTATGCTTTTTTGTGCCCTTTTAATCTGTTTGCAGTAAGATTAAATTTGGGCATGTTTGCAAGTTGTGTCCACCTGTACAAGTAAAAGGGGAAAAGTGGGTAGAGAAACTTCATGGATGCATGTTATGTCCCTGAGAAAACCAAGTCAATTTATTTCACTTTACACAACCTTTTGCAATACCATTATCAAAAAATATACACCCCTCTGATTCCTCACAACTGCACTTGAAGTATATTTTCTCACGATGTTTGTAGAGAGAGGTGAACAGCAGGCTGAGCAGTCGAAGCCAATCAGTGCTACTCGGGCTCTTGCAGGATGCTCACTACAAGGTATCCTGGAAGGCTGACAGAGCCAAGCACCAAAAGGCCCTTCATACCTCCCCGCTCCCATGCAGGCACCTCGTCATCTCAAATTAGCCCCCCGTCTGCCCTGCATGGCACAAAGATGTGTGTGCCGGCGCATCCCACCAGCCCGGAGTCTCCTGGAATCTGGATTCGTCTGTGGAGAGCTTTCATCAGCGAAGTCAGTGCTCCTGCTCAACCCCTGAGGCAAACACTTCGCCTCCTCTGAATGACTTTGTTAGACACGCACGCTGTTTCAGAACAGGTAATGTTGCTCCTGAGATCAGCAAACAACCCCTTCATGTTATCGCTTCATTTGCTGTTTGAATTACCTCCAACTTCCAGCCCAGACATTAGGAGTTGTTGTTTAAACTGTAAATAAGGTCTGATTTACAGTTCTGTAGGTTTGCCAGTAAAAGTGGTTCACTAAGCATTTTACAAGTGGAGTGGGAAAAGAGAAAGTCCTGTAGGGTTTGTAGCAGTGAGATTTATCGCTGTGTTACTGATGTGAATGCTTCTGCTACAGGGCAACTGTAAAAAGGCTAACTGGAACCTAAACACGACACAGCTCCAAATGTACACGTTTTCTCCGCTTTCAGGTTATTTATTCATATTAAATATAAAAAAAGACCTAAAAGGTCAAGCTATAAACACACAGGTGGAATTAAGGAAACTTTCACACCAAAATCAAACTCTAGAAACTAAGCCTTTTAAATAAAGCTAGGCAAGTAAGTAAAGTGGCACAGAGTTCAACCACTGTAAAGGCTGATTTACATATTCTCATGTCACGGCGTGACAGAAATTGTGCCACTTCCGTCTGTTTTCTCCGACACCCTGTCTTGTACATTTACCCCGGTCAGAACTGTGTGCGACTCACAGTGTGTGGTTGGTCAGAACTTCATGGGCAAGTTTGTTTTTTGTAGAGCAACGTGCACTTCTGAATGTCATTTTGCTGAAAATGGTCCTCTCCCAGAGGTTGGTTCAATCTTCATGGGTAACAAGGGGAAAATTCCCCCCCGACTCCTCATACAACAATACAAGCCTCTCTTCAGAAGTCATACATTGTCGAATGAAAAAACAACTATCCTTCTGTCACTGTTGTTGTTTATATGCTTATATGCTGTATGTGATACATTGGGAGTGCTGTGGGTGAGATTATGATCTTTTTTCCCAAGCATTTTCTACGTGACGGTAACCACTCATGAAAAGATGCCTGAAAAGATGTAAGCACTGATTTGCTGTCTCACATCTTGTTGAAGTTTAAACCAGCCGTAACTCAATAAAGGTCTGGCATTCTTTGAAGGCATGCAAATTAGGATCTTCTTATAGTAAGAAATGATTTGTGTTTTTACTGGCTAAGGTCGATCATTTGGTAGCTATTTCAATTTGGGTTGACTCCTAAAATCAGGAGTGTAGGTGTACAGGCAATGAATATTCGGAGAGTCCTAATGCATCTCAGTAATCCACGTAAAAAATCAAAGAGAAAAAAATTGTATAAGTCTTCTGGACGGGTTCTTCTCTAATGAAACGTTTCGTCTCTCCTCCAAGAGACTTCTTCAGTCTGAGAGTTTCAGGCAAAATTCAGGCTTTTAAGCCCAGCCTCCGTGTGACTGATGCTCACATCACATGGCTATCGTTGACACCAAATTAACACCTATTGTTAACAGGGGCTGGAGTGATACTGGCAATCGCAGCACTGTAGGAGGGGGACAAACTGAAAACGGAGGCCTCCACCTCTGTTTAATGATGGACGGTCTTTCTTCACAAAAATGGCTTCTTTTACTCCTCTCTCAAACCAACGTTCCTCTCTATCAAGAATGAGAACATCCTCATCTCTGAAAGAGTGACCGCTTGTCATGTTTTGGGCTGCTCCATCTGTTCCTGCCCCTCTGTCACTCTCACTCAGCTCCTCTGATTACTCCATTCCTCCTCACCTGTGCCACAGCAATCAGCCTCATCTGCCTCACCTGTCCTCTCTCCTATTTAAGCTCCTTTCCCTCACTCAGTCTTTGCCAGATTATTGAACGGTTCACACCCAGTATGTCCAGCACTTTTTCACAGTTCATGCCTGATCCCATGTTTATGACCCTTACGCCTGCCTCTCGACTACTGATTTTGTCTGCCCCTTATCTGCCACTGTCTCGCTCTCTGACCACCGGCTCTCGGACCTGTTTCTGTCACCTGGACCTTGCCCCTTGGATCACGTTTTTGGATTTAACTAACAATCTCGGACCACACAGTTTTTGACCTCAGCCTGCCCCAAGGAAATCGGAACCAAGCCCAAGCCCCAAAGATCACAGGACTCTGCATCCTCACCTGGACTGGTCGATTCACTCTCATCCCCAGAAGGTTAGTTGCAGAGCAAGCAATATCTCCTTGTTTGTTTTTTGGCTCCATTCTCATTTCTGTTCCAGAGTGTGCGGTCCAGGGGTTCAGATTCCCGACCAGTCTCCATTTTAAATAAAGTACTTAAAACTTTATCTTGTTTGCGTGCTCAGAATCCTTCCCACGCTTCTTGTCACCGCTGGCCTGTAAATGAGTGAAAACTGCAGAGTTCTGGCCATTAGATGCAGCTCGTCTGTGTTGGGACATTCTTTTGAACAGTGGTTGCTTTGTTTCCAATTTGTTTCCCCTTTGTTTTTTGTCCCAACACAGACGATCTACATCTAATGGCCAGAACTCTGCAGTTTTCACTCATTTACAGGCCAGCGGTCACTCCTTCAGAGATGAGGATGTTCTCATTCTTGATAGAGAGGAACGTTGGTTTGAGAGAGGAGTAAAAGAAGCCATTTTTGTGAAGAAAGACCGTCCATCATTAAACAGAGGTGGAGGCCTCCATTTTCAGTTGTCCCCCTCCTACAGTGCTGCGATTGCCAGTATCACTCCAGCCCCTGTTAACAATAGGTGTTAATTAGGTGTCAACGATAGCCATGTGATGTGAGTATCAGTCACATGGAGGCAGGGCTTAAAAGCCTGAATTTTGCCTGAAACTCTCAGACTGAAGAAGTCTCTTGGAGGAGAGATGAAACATTTCATTAGAGAAGAACCTGTCCAGAAGACTTATACAATTTTTTTTCTTTTTAATATTCGGAGAATTGTTGTTCTTGAGATTCTTTGCCATTTCTTGCTTTCAGACTGTAGGTTTACTTTTGGTTCGTTGAGTTTCCAAAAGCAGAATGGAAGGCAGAGCTTTCAGTCATCAGAAACCAACCTGATAAAACTAATTAAGCATATTTTACTACAGTTAGAAAGTCAAAAGACCACAACCACATTTTAGACAAAAAAGCCTTCAGAATATGCTGCTCTGTTTTATTTCTTCTCATTCTTTTTCCATCAGTGGAAAAAATAAAAAATAAAAATTCCTCCCCCACTTTCTGTGTTTCACATAACATAAAGAGACAAGGTTCCAAAATGAAGCATTTTATCTCGCTCCACAAGCAGCCATAACAAATATGTTTGTTGTTTTTTTTCCCCCTATTTCCCCCCCTCGCTGGTGGGACATGAAGTGTTTGTTAATAAGTAAGACAAGGCTGCTTTTTATTTGTGCCACAGAAACATTGTTATTATGATGTTTCTTGCAGTGGAATGGAAAAGTGTGCCGACGACAGGTCACAGCTCCGCTCGTATTTGCACATTTAAAAAAAGCTTCACAGTTTTCCTCTCMTTATTATTCCCTTTTTTTATCCTTCGACGACTTCGTAAAGGGTCCCCGCAGATGTTCCCTCGGCTTTATGTCAAAAAGCTWTCTGACTGATACGAGAAAATGTCAGCTGAATCCAAGATGCAAAAAAAATAACAACCTGATTATTTCTTTCTGTGAAAGGTCACCGGTGACACGGTGGGTTTTCAGGAAAATCTAAGATAAAATTTGTAAGTTTGGCGTGCCTGGTCGCACCGGAGCTGTTTGAATGCTTCTCTGCTCAGTAGACAGAACAGTCAGGAGCTCAGCGAAAAACACGAGATATTTTTTTTGTTTTGCATTTGTTTATAAAATCATTGCGCGCCTGATAAACTCTGTGTCACTCAGCGGCGGCTGCAGCTCATCTCAGGACTTTTGTTACGCATTCACGGTGAGCGTACGCTGTTTATGGAGGCTGACACAATCTCATGTCTCCATCAGGCTGATTGTGCACATGCAGTCATTTTGTTTTTTCTTCCACAGACTGCTTTGCTCACACGGCCAACGGTCAGAAGATTGCTTTTTGTGGACTGCATTCTGAGCAGTTACTTCAAGCGTTACACAGACACACACACACAAAAAAAAAAAAAGCGAGATAAATGTAAGTTTGCAGGAAAACTGAAGGAATAATTTTGTGTGGTACGTGGATAAAAACAAATATACGTGCCGACAATGTTTCATGTGACTCCCTGCAGAGAGTCGGGCAAATTTACACCGGAGCTCTGCAAGTGAATGCAGCACAGCAGGCCCTTTCTTTTGCCTAATGATGCAAATTATTAAAAATGCCTTCCATCCACAACCTGTTTCATGCATTTTCTTCCTGAAATAATTGAAGCATTTTTTATAACCTCAATTATCCCCCTCCCCCCCTTCYCTCCCCGCTTTTGCCTCCTAATTGCTAAAGATTCAGGCTTTGCCTGCAAATATTGGGAGTCATCACAATACCAGGCATGTTATTTTCTCCTGTCAGTCTTGTACAATAGAACAGAGAGGCAGGAGGGGGGTTATAAATATTTACTGAAAGAAAAACATTAATTTTTTCCACTTTCTGCCTCGGAAAAGATACACGCATATCCCACAGAGGGAGTAATTATGCCGAATATTGACACAGTACTCTTTTGGTTCATGAAACAAATGGCAACTCACACCTGATGCTCCGACTTCCCCAACTCTGCAGAGTTTTATAAACCAATTCTTTCTTAGTCTTTTATTAATTAACCCTCAAGTAATAATTGTAGGTTTTTTTTGGTTTGTTTTTTGGTTAGGTGTTAGTGGGTCAGATCAAAAACATAAGCTTTTAAAAATAGATTTGAAATAATTTGAATACTTCACATTAACTTTATACAAATGTTTTAATTTGCTAAAGTTRTATCAAATGTATGACACGATAACATTTATTTATAAAAAAATGTATACTGTATCAGTTTTTCATTATACATTTATAACCAAAAAAAATGTTTTGAGATCCTAATAGTCTATGTTAAGATTGGAAGGATGATTTGAAGCCCAGATGCAGGACTGAGTGAGTTAAGGCAAAAAAGGCTTTAATTTTCAAAACAAAGGCTGGCATGGCAGCAAACAAGATAAAAAGACTCTTGGACTTGGCATGAGACAACAGTTAACAATAAACAAAGATCTGAGAAAGACTGAGGACAAAGAACAGAATATAAAGAGGAAACTAACGAGTAGAAACAAGAWACACCTGCGAGAGAAACATGAGGAATAGGTGAGAGTGGGTGGGGCTGGAGCAAAGGCAGACAGGAGGGAGAAAACAGTGGGAGGCCAGACAGAAAACCAGAATAAAACATGAACACAGATACAGATCATGCCAATCTGTGAAATACCAATAAAACAATAAATACATACAAAAGCATGTATGAAAGACCAGGACATAGCAAAAAAAATGTATTGAAGGGCATGGTCCAATTTTATACATGAGCAATAGTAAATGTAAAAATAGTTCATTCAATATTAAAGATCATTTAAAATAAGACATTTGTTTTAAATTCGATTTATGATAGTTTGTCTTATTCAGTTGTAAGTCTTATTGACGTGTTTTGATATTTGTAATGTTTTGTTTATTGCAATAAAAAACAATCTAAAAAACCTAAAAACCCAAAACATCACCTCCACCTAAAAACAGAATCATTAAAGACCCTGCTCATTACTGTCGGAAACGAACTATTTGTTCAAAGTGAGGTTGTTCAAATCTCTATCTGCAACTGGTAAGTCATTAACTGTCCAAATATTTTCACAGAACCCTACTTCAAAAATCTGAAACTTTAAAAAGTCCAAAAAAAAAGACAGAAAAGTCCGAGACATTCAAAAACAAATTCTGAACACAGAGCTCAGACTGGAGATTTTACATCACAGAGCTTTAGAAAAATGAGGGAAACACTTGGAGCCGTGGCTGCATGAAACCCCTCTGCACTATTGAGGCAGAGCAGAGATTCAGAATACACAAGAGAGAAACTGAAACACAACCAGCACTGGACCAGATGTTTGTGGTTACATAACTGTGGCTCTGGGTATTCTTAGACGGTTTTAAATAGGGGTGTCCCGATATCAGTTTTTTCAAGACTGAGTACAAGTACGAGTACTTCAGTTTAGGTTCTCACCGATACCGATACCGATACCGATACCAAGTAGCGGGGTTCGTGTGGATTATCTGTTCAACTTGTTGAATATTAAACAGAATGAAAATGAAATGCAATTATCATGCAAAAATTGATGGGTAAATATGTTTGACAATAAAAAGGTAGTGCAAACTCTGACAAGTAGATAAGTTGGTATATACGTATATATCACACCATAACTTTTGAAACCATTTATTTTATTTCAAACAGGCTCTTTTTTATAAGGCCACACTCCCTCTGAATGTATTAACAATACAAATACTGCAAAACAAATGCTGTTGCATACATTAAAAAACAAAATAAGTTATTTTTTCTACATTTTCCTCAACATGCAACTACCAATTTTAAATTTAAATGTAAACTATAACGTAAATTTTAGCAGCACATCTATAGAAGTTTACTCTGCTTCAGTCTTAAACTGTTAAAAAATGACTAATAGTAATAAAGTGCAGTAAATTTCAGTTCAAACTTTAATTGAACAACTAAAACAAAATCTCAGAAGAACCACAGTGAAAAATAAAATGCTTTTACAGCAAACGTCCTTCCATATTCTGCTTATGTCTTAGTTTGTTCTACAATAAAGAAAAAACAGCATTGAAGTTACTGCAACAACTGCTGCATAGTGCTGTTTATGAAGCCTACTGCTARCAGCAGCAAACTCTTTGAACTCTTTGTCATGTCTTGTCCTCAAATGTTTAATCAAATTGCTGGTGTTAAAACATCCAACTTTCGCTCCTCCCCTGAGAGTTTAGCAGAGCACAGCAGACAGTCATCTCCAAACTGCCGTTACTTCTTCTTCTTCCATCATCGTTCTTCTTCTGTTATCCGGGGGTGCGGTCGGAAATAACGTGTCAGTGCATTAGCGCCCCCGCCTGGTATGGATTGTTGTTTACCCTTTGCGCTGCAGCGCAGATCAGGAGGGGACAAAAGCGGTGTCGGTTAAGAGTATCGGCCGGCTTTTACGAGTACGAGTATGAGTACTTGATGCTGGTATCTGACCCGATACCGATATCGGTATCGGGACACCCCTAGTTTTAAACCAACCTGAATGCAGCACCACGTTCAAGTCTGGTAAAACGGGTGCAAACATCATTTACAGCAAAGCTGGTTTAATGTTGCTTATGCAGTATGCTAAGTTTCTGACCCCTGCTCCCCTTTCCTTCCA